ATCACAAGAGTCAGCTCATGAATTCAAAAACACCGTTCAACTTTTTCCGAAAAGCAGCATTCTAGAACCTTCAAAAGTGAGACAACAGGCCTGCAGGAAGCAAGATGAAAAGATGCTGTGGAGTTTCTTGTGCTCTCTTAACTTGGCTGTTTGCTTGCAGACGTTTCATTACCCAACTAGGTAACATCAATACTGCAAGTGAGTGTGAGGTTTGCTGCTGGCTGATTTCATCTTAGTTGAGTAATGAAACATCTGCAAGCAAGCAATAAAGCTTGGAGAGTACCAAGTTAATCTCTTCTATCGGAAAGAAAGACGCCCAAGACGAATTTTAAGAAGCTACTCACTCGGTTGCTACCAACGGTGGCAAAAACCAGGGGATCACCTTCCTTGCTGTGCCAATTAAACTGCACGCCAAATAACGGTTGACTGTGATCCTCCTGAAAAAGAAACCACAAGTTCAAACCACAGCATTTCCTTCAGCATTAAAGCAAGTTCAGTAGGGACATAAGTAGGCTTAGCGAGATTATTGTGCAGATAGTTCTCAAGTTATGACCATTTGTTAGGAACCCTTCAAAATTATGACAGTACTGAACAAGGGGAACTTATGACCAGTCGGCCATCACAATGTCATTATCTAGGTCATTGGTGGCGAACCTATGGCACGGGTGCCAGAGGCGGCACTCGGAGCCCTCTCTGTGAGCACACGTGCCGTTGCCCCAGCCTTGCCTCCCCCCCGCGACCCCTTCATCTTCAGCAGCCCCCTTGAAGGAGACTCGCCCTCGAGCGTGGCCCACACAGAGCAGCGCAGCCAAGGACATGGCAGCCAGGCAGCGTAGACAAAACTCTGCCCTCACACCCCATCATGCAATTGATGCTGCAGGGTGCGGGCAGAGGGTGTGGCCGTCATAGCGCTGCTGGGCTGCCTGGACAATCTGTGGCAGGCCCTGGAGGTGGTGAGTGGCCCTGTGGACAGGCGGGGCGGGGGATGGGGGGCAGAGCGGGTGGGCAGGGGGGGTTGAGTGGGGGCTGGGCCAGTCTCGGTCTCTAAAAGGTTCGCCATCACTGATCTAGGTGTTTGGGTAATTGGCTTGCAATTATGTCATTGCTGTGAGCTGCAGTCACATGACTGCCATTTGTGACCTTTCCTGTTGGCTTCCTAAAGTCCTATAAATCACTCCTACTAAATTTTCCCCCATGAAGCCCCACTTTGGAGAACGGGATCCCAGGGACCTCATACTCCATAGTACGCCTCTGCCCACTCCTGCTCTGTAAATGCTCCCACCAGCCTTCCCACAATGCTTATCACCCATCCTTGCCCCTCACAGGCCTGTCTGCACTCAGCATTCCCCAGTCATGTGACCAAAATTAAGGAGTTTGGCAACCAACTCGTATTTATGATTATTGCAGCATCCTGGAGTCGTAGCAGCAGTAAGGGAAGCTGGATTTGCTTAACAAGCACCTGATTCACTTAACTGCAGCGATTTGCTTAACAACCGTAACAAGAAAGATCATAAAATTGAATGACTCACTTAACTACCTTGTTTAGCAACCAAAATTCTGGTTTCAACTGTGGTCATAAGTCAAGGACTACCAGGTATTTGGATGAAAGACAACTAGAGGATACCAAGGCGGTAGACTTTCTTGGGGCAAAGAAAAGCAACCTGAAGAACAGCAGCGGTGAGCCAATTCCAAACTCTATAGATATGTTCCTGAAGTGCCTGAGAGACCAGGTCATCTTTAGGACATTTTAATATTATATAAAATTCTTAAGCAGCATTTGAGGAACAGGAAGATTTAGGAAAAAGAGGCTAAAATGAAAAGAATAGACACTGAGCTCAACAATTGAGTCTAGAAACAACTCCAGAATCTGTTTTGCTTATGTATCTTTTATCTAAAATAAAAACAGTTGCTATGGCTTCTGCATTTTGTTTAAGGGCTACACTTCTACAGTCCTCTCTATGAAGTCATGAAGGAAACCCAAGTTATAATGTTCAGCTGCTGTTCTTAGCCATTCCCCCAAAAGAAAGTACACATTTCAATTTCCTGTCAACAACTAAAATACAATTTCCTGTTGTTCCAATTATATCTAGGTATACCTCCCATAACAAGTGCATCTGAACTTGCAACAAAGATATTTTTAAAAAAACTATGTAAAGAGATGGATTTTCTGAAAATGAAACAATAATGTGGTGTAACTAAGTTTAGTACTTTGAGAATTTATCTTGAACCACCTTATTATCTCACATAGCGAACACACTATGAGGAGCACACTAAAAATTGTTTTAAAGATTTTCCTAATTTTAGGGACATGAGAAGCTGCTTTCCACCAAGTCAGACCAGTATCTATTTTAAGGAGGTATGGGTAATCAAAGCCCTGTTTTGAGGTGATGGGGCTGACTCTCTGGAGTGACCTTCTGTTGAAGATTCATTTGTTTCCAACATTGCCTGTTACCTAGAAGCTAAACACAGAACTTTTTAAGAGCGTTTTGGCAAGATCTCATGCCATACATTTTGTCTGAGTTTTTACCTATCTTAGGATTTTTGTATTTATTGTATTTTTATACCTTCTTAGCCATCAAAATATATTGTGACATACAAATCTGATTTAAAAATATTTAATCAGGCAGCAGCAAACTCCATGAAACACTTAAGCCTGCAAATACCTTGAGGCTGTTCACACATTTAAATGAATATTTGCATTTCTTTGACTTCCATTTTCCTTTCCCCCAACTTTTCCTTCCTGGAGCATTCGGCGTGTTCGTAGGGGTGTCAGGGCGTTCAGTATTAGTACCACTCTCTATACTAACAGCATCGTCCTGGAAACATAAAACAAGATGGATTTCATAACAAACCAAAACCAGCAAAGAGCAATGTCTGAAATGCAGAAATTTTCCAGAATTATTGAAAAAACAAGTTTCTGAGTAGATTAGATACTCAGCCTTTTATAATCCTGCTTCATAATACTGGCACTTATAAACAAATAACTGAAAATAATAATGCCCCCAGTAGGGACTAGCATGCTTGCAAAGTTTTGTTTCATTTTTTTAAAAACATTCAGAATGGAAAGGTGGCATGCTACAAGTTTAAGTGATAGGTTCCAGCATCTTGTTTAGATTCTGGGCACCAAAGCTTTTGAAGAAAATAAAAACAATGGATGGCTTTGCTAGGAATTATGCATCAAGAAAGAAAAACTAGTCAAAGGTAATACAAAATGTCCTTTAAGAGCAAATATTTGAGGGACATTACAGTTATGTTGATAAATAGCTCTTTTTAATTAGCGATGGCCTCATGATGTGCAGTGTTTTCAAACTAAGCAAACTTGAGATGTGTGTCTTCAATTCTCAGAATTTCCCAGCCAATCTGAGGCTATGGAATGTTGGGACTTAAAACTCTATACATCTTAAAGTTGCCAAGTTTGAAAATTACTGATGGTGAGTCCTGTTTATTCATGAGCAAAACTAGCACCACTTTGGAGGAACATATCACATTATATTCTTAAAATTCTCAGTTGTGTCAACCGACTCAAAAACTTAAAAGAGATCCTTCTGGAAAAGGGAAGGAACACTTTATAGATGGAAATCTACAATCTTTGGTAACCTCACACAAGAAAAACCTCTTCCTGAATCTTTCCCAATATTGGCCAATAAATCAATAAATTAGTTTGATTGGGCCAGTACTACTTCTGAATTCAAGTATGATGACATGATTGAATATTCCACCAAATATTCTGTAAACAAAAAAACAAACAAATTCAGAAGCTTATCTCTGACATGTTCATTTTGTTTGAATAATTTTGTTTTGACATAGGCCTATTACCTATGAAAACAAAATCTATTACCAGGGAATGCCTATTGTGATAACTTAAGAGAGGATTATATTTCAATATATCTTGAGGAAGCACTGCTATTCTCTTTTCAAAAAGATGCTTCCAGATCCATCATCCCCAATCAATACATGCTAATGATGATAGGAACTGAAATCCTGCCTTTAACATCCACAGTCAAGATATTTGAGTTAGAAGTGATGGGACTGCAGTGGCACCTTCACCCTCCACCCCTATCATCCCAAACATAACAGTCCTGGGAATGATGGGATTAGATTCCACTTTCCCTTTCCAACCCTATCAACCCCACAATCCCTTGAGGAGGCTGGGAATGATGGGATTACATTTCTACCTTCTCTTTCCAGCCCTTCAACCATGTCAACATAACAGACCTGGGAATGATGGGATTTACAGTTCCACCTTCTCTTTCCAGCCTTATCAACCCCACAATCCCTTAAGGAGGCTGGGAATGATGGGATTACAGTTCTACCTTCTCTTTCCAGCCCTATCAACCCCACAATCCCTTAAGGAAGCTGGGAATGATGGGATTACAGTTCTACCTTCTCTTTCCAGCCCAATCTACCCCACAATCCCTTAAGGCTGGGAATGATGGGATTACAGTTCTACCTTCTCTTTCCAGCCCTATCAACTCCACAATCCCTTAAGGAAGCTGGGAATGATGGGATTACAGTTCTACCTTCTCTTTCCAGCCCAATCATCCCCACAATCCCATAACAAGGCTGGGAATAATGAGGCTGAAGTCCCTTTTTCACTCTCCTGACCTATCATTCCCATACCTGGGGCGGGAGTGATGGGAGTTGGCCGTCCGATCTCTCTGAAGAGCAGCCAGAGCTAGAAGGGCGGTCCCCACCCCCCATCCCCCTGGTTGCTAGGAGACGCGCTAGGCCCGGGCCTCGACCACACTGGACTTCCCAAGGAGGCCTGGAAAGCGAAAAGCCCCGTGGCGGTCACCCCCGCGCTGCCTTCCCGCCGGGGCCGCTCACATTTTCGTCTCCCGAGAGGTCCCCGGGGTTGCTGTTCTCGTCGCTGCTGAGCTTCTGCTTCTTTGTCGGCATCTCGGTTCCCGCCACCGCCTCAGGCGCCTCGCTTCTCCCGCCGGCTCCACGCCTCCTCTCAGACATCTTCCCCGCCCCTCGCGCCCGACCGTAAAGCACAGATAAGGTAGCCGCCGCCCACGACTCCGCGGCGAGACAGGAAGACCTGCGGGGCGCACTATATAAACTCTTCCGCCGTAAAGCGAAAACGGCTTTCGCCTCTTCTGCTGTCGCAAAGCCAAAGGGGAAATAGAAGCCACACTGTGGGAAAATGTGCAAGGCGGCCCCGTGCGCGTGCGCAGCAGCCTCGAGTAAGCGGGCCGCCAGCGGGCGCGCGGCCCCGTCACCTCACATCGAGTTTTTGCGCGCCTGTTTCTTCTTCCCCCAATTTTAGGGCGTTCGTTGCTTCGTTTTGGAGGGCTGCTTTCAAAAGAAAGCGTTTATTTTAGGGCTCAGAAAGAACAAACCCCTGGCCTGTATTTGTAACCTTTATTTTTTGGAGGACTTTTTTTTTAAAAAAAAAAAACCTAAGTTGGAGAGCAGCTCGTTATAGTTCTTAATTTACAAAACAAAAAGAGGAAAAAGAGGAAACAACGCATATGTGGAAAGAATCCAGAGAAAGAAATATTTTGGGAAATATTAAAAAGGCAGAATATATTTACCCAAAAGATTTTAAAGGCAGAAACCAAGCACCCCCCCCCCAAGTCTCTGCCCCAAACAAAAATCAGGTTTGCAGAAATGCAGATGTAATAATCTTGTTAGAAAGATTGGAGCCAGGAAGCTGGGATTAGAAAGACAAAGATCCATTAGAATCAACATCTCCTCACAGCAAAAAATCTAACAGTCATCAGCCACAGAGAAGCAGGATATGACCTTTAGGACATAATAGATTAACCCACCACCATCAGAATATCAGAAAGGCATGGTCCGGTCAAAGTTCATGTCACAGGAACAACTCCAAACAAAAGTTCAAGAAGGTATAAAAGCCCACCATTCCATACTATATGTGATCAGCTTTTCCAGAGCCATCTTTCTATCTGGCTCTCCAATAAACTACAACCTTCTTTCTAAAGCAGTCTCCATTTTGTTTATTCCCAGCTTGGACTGGACCCTGATGAAGATTTTTCTTTCAACACTTCCATCTGCTAAAATAGCTGTAATGCTATCAAACATCCACATTTCCCTATCCCAGAATTCCAAATCCAGTCTGAATATCTGGCTCACTGTGAGAAACCATTTTATTAAACTTCTATGCAGTCAGTCTCTCAACACCTGTGTGTGGCTCGCAACAGTCAAAGAAATTATAACAAAATCAGTAGAAAATTAAAAAAAGATAAAAGATGGCAAGTGCAATGAAGTAGGAATCTAATCTGACAGGTGTATTTATTATCTATCACATTTCACAGGGTTGAAAGGAAAATAGGAGAAAGGAGTATTAAGTATGTTTGCCACCTCGAATTATTTATAAAAATAATAAAGGCAGGATATAAATAAGTCTCCTTCACTGATAGAAACCTTCAAATTATTCAGTTAGAAACAATTATTAAGAGTACCATGGACTATAAAACAACCAATCAGTCTATTCTGGTATATCCAAAAGCTAACTGATCCCTTGAGTTGACAATCCACAAGGACAAACTTGGTTGTTTGGGGCACGTGATGTTGCCTACCCATGGAAGAATTAAAGCAGCAAAACCTAAATTCAGCTCAAGAGACTTAGCGAAGAAAGCCTCTGAATTTTGTTCCAGCATGTGTGGAAAGCGGTATCAATTGAAAAAAAAGATTTTTTTTAGTTAGTCCTTGATTTATGACTGTTCGCTTGGTGACCATTCAAAGTTCCAATGGACCCATCGGGGGGGGGCACTTATGACCCAGATTTTAAGTCCCAACAGTCGTCCCCCCCCCATGTGACTGCACTCTGGAAGTTAGCTGTTTGCAGCATCTTGTGATCATGTGACCGCATTTTACAAAAATCAGCATTTACTCCTGGTTTTCAGCAAAGCCTCCCATAGCAAACCACTGTGGGAGGACAGGGAATATTCAAAGGCAGAATATATTTCCCCAAAGGATCTTAAGAGCGGAAAAGCAGGCCCAGTTCTTCTTAATAGCCCCCAGTAGAAACTCAGGAAATCACTTTTTAGAAATGCAGATGTGATAATCCTATTCAGAAAGGTTGGAGCCAGGAAGCTAGAAGCTGATGAGATTAGAAAGACAAAGACCCCTAAAATCTACATACCCCACCCAAACGCATGACCTTTAGGATATAATAGGATTAACCCACCACCATCAGAATACCAGAAAGGCACACTGAAGCTCAGGTCAAAGTTCATGCCACAGGAACAGGAAACAACCTCAAAAGCCCAAGAAGGTATAAAAACTCACCATTCCCAGCTACATGTGGTCAGCTGTCCTCTTCAATAAACTACAACCTTCTTTCTAAAGCAGTCTCCATTTTGTTTATTCCCAGCTTGGACTGGACCCGGATGAAGATTTTTTTTCTTTCAACACCATTGTTTTGTTTAGCAACCACAGCATTTTCTTAACAACTGTGGCATTCACTTTAAGACTACTGCATTCACCTAATGCCCCCTGCAAAAAAGGTGGGGAAATCAAATCAGTCACATGATGATCCACTTTGAAATTATCATGAGTTACGACTGTGATGAGCAGACTCCATTATGGTTGTAACTCAACTACCTATATCCATTTTAGTGGTGACTTCCAGGCATAAGCCTAGATCAGTAGAGCAAGAAATGAGGGATGCTTCCTTAGTAAAAAAAGCTCCGGGGCATTTCTTGCCTGTGGCAAAAGACAAGATATGTGAGAAGCTACAGCAGGGGTAGCTTTCATTGAGGTCCGCATCAGCATTGCGGTTGCCCTCGGGGGGCCAGGTGGTTGTGGCCAGGGTGGGTATGGCCTACTGGGTGGGTGTGGAGGGAGTGGGTGTGGCCTATTGGGGGCATGGCCAGCTCTACATTGTTCGCGTCAAGGATGCCTGTGGGGGCCTGGGCAGGAGTGGGGCAGATCTGAGGGTCTCTGGTTGAAGGCAGTGGGACCAGGGCAAGTGCCAAGGCATGGTCCACTGGAGGAGCCTCTCTGCCTGCTGAAACCCCTCCGCTGGAGCCCATCAATTCGGATATGTGAAGTAGGCGAGGGCCATTTGCTGGCCACTTCCAGGCGATGGTGCATTTCTTCATTCCTCACAAAGGGTGACACCTCCCCAGCATGCACCCAGGGGGTGGGGCCAACACAGCAGGGGCTGGTTCCTCGCTGTTTCCAGACAGCCTTGTGGAGCTAAGACTGAATGCATTTCAGCATAGATGGCCACCACAAAATTGTACATTGGTTCCCGGCCAGTCTCGACCAGGGCCAAGGCAGTGGGGGCCGTTCCCTCACTGTTTCCAGGATGGCTTCGCGGGTCACAAAACCACTTCGCGGGCCGTATCTGGCCCCCGGGCCTTGTGTTTGACATGTCTGAGCTACAGTATGTACTGAAAGCAACCAGTTTGGCCTGCACTGAAAATGTGGCAGTAGTGTCCTCCATTGCACCCGAGGGCAGAAGGTTTTAGCCACCAAGTTTAAGTGGATGCTGCACATTAGCTCCCGGCCATCCTCTTCACTGCCCTGAAGGCCTCAGCATTTGCTATCTAAAAAAAAAAAATCTCATAAAGATAGATTTCCTGGCTGGAGCTTGCCGCTGAAGCTGACAAGGCATTGTTTATACTCATAACAATCATAAGGAAGTTTGCGCATGTCTTGTTTAGACTTGGCACAGAATAGGCACCGCTGGTCTTTCCTGCATCCACATTGTTTGAAAGGATTGAATAACAAAGTTGGAAGGAACCTTGGAGGTCTTCTACTCCAACCCTCTGCTCAGGCAGGAAACCCAATACCTTTTCAGTCAAATGGTTGTCCAATCTTTTCTTAAAAACCTCCAGTGTTAGAGCACCTACAACTTCTGGAGGCAAGCAGTTCCACTAATTAATTGTTCTAATTTTCATTCTCCTTAGCTCTAGGTGGTTCTTCCTTGATTAGTTTCCATCCATTGCTTCTTGTCCTGCCTTCAGGTGCTTTAGAAAATAGGTTGACCCTCCCCTCTTCTTTGCAGCTGCCCCTTAGACACTGGCTCTACAGTAGTGGTTCTCAATCTTTTTATACCGGCGACCCTGGTCATAAGCACGCGGCGTGCATGCGCGGCGCCGCCTCCTGCGCTGCTCCCATGCATGGCGTGCATGCGTGGCACCGCCCCATGCGTGGTGTGCATGCGTGGCGGCGCCCCCTGCGCAGTGGCGCCCCCATGCGCCCCTCCTGCACGGCGCGCATGCACGGTGGCACTCCCTGCTCCGGCTGAAGAAAAAAATTGGCGGATCGCGTTGTTTGGCGACCCCTGTGAAATGGTCGTTCGATCCCCAATGGGGTCGCGACCCACAGGTTGAGAACCGCTGCTCTACAGGCAAGAGGGGAAATGCAAATCCTAGGTGTTTTGTTTGTCTGAGCTAATCTTGTCAGTTTGGCCTTGCCTATTGCTGTTGCTTATTTAGGGTTTTTGTCTGTTCTTTGTTTATGAATAGTGTGACCCAGTCTTTCTGAATGGATTACAAAATCTTCATTCCTAAACCTGCTGGTTTCTGCTTGAGGCTGTTTTCTTACAGCAAGAAGACTGGAGCTACTTTCTGCCTTTAAGAAGACGTCTCTTTTCTTCTCCTTCAGCCTCTTTTTAATATTAAGAATAAAGAATGTTTTATTCAGGGGAAGGGGGGTCTTCCTACACCCTAAAGGTGCTTTTCAAAAGGCAACTGGATTTTCTTAGCTTTTTTTTTTTTAAAAGACATTTCGCTTCTCATCCAAGAAGCTGAAAAAGCTTCAAGAGCTAAAGAAGCTTCTTGGGTGAGAAACAAAACATCTTTAAGGAAAAAACAAAGAAAGTCCAGTTACTTTTTGAAAAGCACCTTTGGGACCCCTTCTATGCCCATTTGGTCATCTGTACTCCACAGCCTCTGTCACCTGAAACTGACCTTCACCACTGTGGGAATAATCCAGAGAAAGAAATATTTTGGGGAATATTAAAAAGGCAGAATATATTTCCCCAAAAGAATAATGGAGAAGATCTTTAAAAAGGCAGAAACT